TATATATATACTTTGAAGATTATTGTTATATCTTTTATGAAAGTAGGGTAGAATAAAGGTGTGATATTTAAAAGGAACGATTTAACACTGTTCTCTTTAGTATTTATATAAGGAAAGGTAAAAGGGATTGTCACACGATTGTTTGCTTCGACGTTGCGAAGAAAACACGTGCTGTAAACAAAAATCAAAAAAGAAATATAGAAATATACAATTTTGAATGAATATAAATCCAAATTGTTTGTTTCGACGTTGAGAGAAGAAAATACGTGCAGTAAACACAGAAACCAAAAAAAAAAAAATAGAAATATACAATTTTGAATTAATATAAATCCAATACATATATATATATAGAAATGAAAATACAATCAACGTTAATTTATCCACGTCACCGATCAAAACAATTACGTCACGATTGGATTCTTCTATGAAATTGATAATAAGAAGAAAGGATTGTGTGTTTGTTTGTTTGTTTGTTTGTTTTGAAATTGAAATTAAATTCAATTGTTCATATCGAATATAACGATAAAAGGAATAAAGTGATATTATAATTGAGAAGAAATTGAAAAATTCAACGATGGATAGCAAAAGTGATGAAGAATCGGCACCAACATCGGCAGAATTGGAGGCAATGAAACGTAGAAACAGATCGAGATCGGTTTGTGTACCTATGCTTTCTTCATCACAACTCAGACATCTTCATCGAAGGGCCAGTCATCATGCGTACGTTTTTTTCTTTCATGATTTTTTTTTTGTTTTTGTTTTAAATTTGTTCTTGTTTGTTAAAGACGATGTGCTCGTTAAATTTGATTTGTGATGTTGATTAAGAATAATTAATATAATTGTCAGAAGTATATTATATTTAATGATGATTGTAAACAATATTTGTTATTGAATATTAAGGAATTAAATAGATATGATATTTATTTTGATTAATCAAGTTAGATTTGATAATCGTCGGAAAGAATCTTATCGGTGAATAAAAATAGAACTGAAATGAAAAAAAATATCGTAATATTGGTATGTGAATGAAAACTATATAAAATTGAACTATATAAACTTAAATTATATAAACTAAAAGTATATAAAATTCTATTCGATTTTTGTTATTTATTTATGCAAAAAGATTAATTTTTTTTTTCATATTAATTACTTAAAATATAATTTATAAAAATATCGTAATATTGGTATGTAAATGAAAACTATTTAAAGTTAAATTATATAAATTTAAATTAAATATATATATATATATATATATATAAACTAAATTAAATATTAATTTATATTAAATAATTTTATTTAATAAAAATAATTATATTTATATTTAATATATATTAAATATAAATATATAAATTAAAACTATGTAAAGTCCTCCTAGAGATTTATGTTATATATTTATGCAAAACTATAAATATTCTTCTTAATATTGACTACTTTACTATTACTATTATTTATTTAAATTGCTATTATTTACTTCAAATTTTCCTCTATGCACTTGTGCAATATTAACAACACTTGTATTGTCTTTTTCTACATCTATGCAAATTATTTCTACAACATTAATGTTCTATGAACCACACCAAAATATTATCAATATAATATTAATAACAAATCATAAAATATAATATTACATCTTAAATCTAAATCAATCAGAATACTTTATACAAATTGAAATATATTTACGTACTTATTTCAACTATAACATATATCAAAAGATATAAGATTATGTAATATCTTCAGATGCAATATCTGAAATGAGAATAAAAGTAATAAACGAAGTATCATTTGCTATGATCCATAATAATATTTCACATCAACCTAAAGAAACATTTCTATTGTAAAATAAAATTGAAATTTATCTTGATATATTATTACTATAAGATGAAATAATAAAAATCATGAATTTCAATCTTTTAAAGGTAACTTTTATACATTAGCATGTTGAGCGCCACGTCAGTCATATGTGACTGACACTAGACTTTTCACTTAAGCCGTGTCAGTCACTTGTGACTGACACGTTCAACTTTTTTCAATACAAAGTAAGGCCCGTGGCCTGACGGGAATTTCTCTAAGAATTCGCGTGGCGTTTAACGTGTTAATGATTCAAAAAAGATAAAACAGATTGAATTGAAGTACTTACGAAGGTATACATCGGACAGGTAGATAGGTTGGTATGTTGGTAGGTTGGTAGGGTAAGATTTTTGCATTGAACCAAGTCGACCTCAACTTGTTTTCATCATTTCCTTCTTCTTCTTTTTCTTTTTCTTCTCATTAACCTACATATTCACGTAGCGAAAAACGAAGAAAATATAAGTGTAGACAGTGGTGGTGGGTTTTTATCTCGAAACTTATCGCGTAGAAGAAAAATAGGAGATTGGGGTTGGATGAGTAAGATGAGATGATCGGTTCTACTTGTTCAATGTTAAACAAGATAATAAAATTGTTTGAAAATTTACGAATCGTATCACAACTAATTTGATTATTTTTCTTCAACGGTGTTAGTTTCATCGATCATTAATTTAACGTTTCATTGAATCTTTAAAATCAATCTCGAGAACCAACCCTCTTTTCATTTCCTTCACAGTCCAAGTTTGTTTTTGACATTTATTGTATGCTAGAATTTGTTAAAGTTTGTCATAAATTAGGGTGAATCAAAAGTTAGAATGTTTTTTAAATTAAAACTTTACTTTGGAAAATGACATGATGAATTGTTTTTGTTATTTTGATAAAATTTATTTTGGTGAAATATTATTATAATTTATTAATTAAAATTAAAGTAAATAATTTATTTAAATTAATAATATATTTATTTTACTAATTAATAAAATAAATATATATATATTATTAATTAATATTTTATATATTAATATATATGTCAATAAAATATATTTATATATAAAATATTAATAAATTTATTTTAATATTAAAATTAATTAATATTACATTTATTTAAAATTAAAATACTAAAAAATAAAATATAATTAAATTTTTTTTTAAATTATAATTAATTAATATTAAAATCAATTACATATTTATATATTTATAAATAATATATTATATATATAAATATATTAATAATAAAATTATAATATTATTAATTTAAAAAAAAAAAAAAATAAAAAATGACTGAATAAATAAACTTTTGATTAAACCTAATATCAACATAACTATAATAATAAACGTCATGTGTTTCAGATCTACGACGGATGCAATATCGAGAAGAGGTGTATTATCGAGACGATGCTATGGAAGTGTCGAAATGGTAAGTTAACATTTGTATTTGTGTTTTTGTGTTTGTGTTTGTAATACTATGTATTTGAGTATATATATGTCTATAGGAAGAATGTTCTCGTTCGTCGATCATGATGTTACTATTGCAAATAGGTCGAATCGTCGGTGTTCCACTTCTTGCTGGAACGAGCACTTTCGAATAATATCGGTGCCATGATTCACAAAGATAAAACGTTGGGGGCAAATCTCGTGTGAGATTACGACTAAAGTGAAATCATGCGTTTTAAAATCCAAAGATTATTTTATTTTAGCTGTTGAGAAGAAAACTTAAGAGTATTACCTTTTTGTTTATCTCCAATTTTATCGAATGGAAACATTTTATTTCGATTCACGAAAATGAAAATTCTTCTATCTGAGGAACAACAAAATTTCAATGATTTATTTATTAAATAAATCATTTATTAATTTATTAATTATTCAATCAATGCACGAGTATAATAACCAAAATTTAATCAATGCACATGAATTTACTAAAAGTTCAGTCAATGCACGAATGTATGAAAAAACATTTGTTCAATTTAAGAGAATCAATGAGCTACGGAGAAATTCGTCAATGCACGAGTCTACGAAAAGTTCGGTCAATGCTCATTGATCATTGACGAATTTCTTCGTAGCTCATTAAATTTTTTTCAAAATGCAAATCATCCGATCATTGACTAGTTTCTTCGTAGACTCATTGAAATTTTGTTCAAAATGCACGAGTCTTCAATCATTGACGAATTTCTTCGTAGACTCATTGAAATTTTGTTCAAAATGCACGAGTCCTCGATCATTGACGAATTTCTTCGTAGATTCATCGAACTTTTTTGAAAATCAATCACACGATATTTTTTTTTTATTTCTATTCTTTTTACAGTTGCCACAAATCGAGCAAGACGGCACAGACAACGGGAGAAGATTTCGTATGGAAAATGGTGATTCTCCTGGCGAAAAAGAAGAAGTAAGATAATTATTATTATTATTATTATTATTATTATTATTATTATTATTAATTAGCGTTAGAAACTTGAAAGTTCATTGCCGCAAATACGAAATCCCGCCATTGTTCCCGTCCCTGAACGCGATTCTTCCATTCGTGGTCTTCGTATCCTATTTCTTTCAGATCCCTTCTAATATTATCCTACCATCTACGTCTACGGTGAAGTAAGATAATACGATTTGTTATATCATACTTTTCTTTCCCCCTGACATTTTTTTTTTCAATCAAATTTTCTTTTCGCATCCCTCCCCCCTCTGTAAATTTCTCCATCAAATCTAACTTTTTCACTTTGTCGATTCGTAAAGTCTTTCCATTTGTTTTTCTTTTCACATTTCATTAAAAGAAATAAAAAAAAAAACATCAGCAGCAACAGAAATACTTTTCTATAGGGTGACCACATTATTTATAATTTCATAATCGTTGTTCTCTTTGTTGTATAGATGTTTGGTTCTCCGAATATACCGATATTGGAAAATCCGGAATATCAAACACGATGGTACTTCAAATACTTTCTGGGCAAACGTGAGTACCATAATCTCAATCAAGTATAATTCAATTCTTTTACACTTTTTCCATGCTCCTCCCCCTCCCCAAACCTTGTATATTATGTTTTAATCTCTTTTTAAATTTCTTTTTAAATTAAACTTAAATTTTTATTATTATTTGTAAAAAACATTACGCCTGTAAGAATGCAACCCTCCAGACACACTTTGAAAATGTTGCTTGCGAACGCCATCTGTTGGAAAGAAAATTTTTTTCAGCCCAAACTGTTTATACACGCGTGTATTACGGATTGCCTATCTTTCGGGCAGAAAAAAAATGTCGTCCCAACAGATGACGCTCGCAAGAAACATTTTCAAAGTGTGTTTGGAGGGTTGCATTCTTACAGGCGCCAATTTTTTATAATTATTAAATAAATAATTACAAATAATAGTAAAAATAATATTATAATAATATTATATAATAAATTATCCTACTCCTGATTCTATGAACTTGTCTCATTCTCTCGAAATTTGCTTTTTTGATAGTTTCACTTCTAACTTGTGTGATCTGCACACATGTTTTTTTTTCTATTTATTTTTTTTTTTTTAATTTTATCTCATACCAAACACAGATAAAGTTAGAAACTATGCTTGCATGTGTTCGTTCTTTTTCTCTCTCTCTTTCTCTGTCGTGTTCATGTTTGGTAAAAGCTCAGAAACCAATGTGTATATGTGTGTGTGTGCATGTGTTATACTCTTCCTATCGTACACGCCAAAGTTTATACGCTTAACGGATATAAATATTGGTTAAGAGGAAGATAAAAACGGAACCCCCTGAGCTTGTGCCAATAACGACGCGATACGCCCGTTTTAATGGAGAACCGCGATTACGAGTCCGCGGATCGATAATTAAGATGAATGTTGTGTTGTTCTATCGTAAAAGTAAAAATAGGAAAAAGATAAGGGCCAATAACGACAACAACAAAAAGAAACAAAATAATACAAGGGGGGAGGAAAAATATTTAAATGTAGAAATTTTCAATTAAACTTCATCGAACTTAATTGATTAATTAATTATTGTACCATTTTTGTTTAATTTTAGTTATTTGTTCTAATGTGTGCATCATAAAATTGTATCTTGTTGTAGTTCATCAAAATTACGTGACTTCTGATCACGAAAGGAATCCACTGTTTCTCTCGGTGGTTATGAGTGAGGGTGGAGATCAATGCGTATCCCATTACAGGGTTATTTTATGGAGAAGAACGGTGAGTAAATGTAAAATATAACTTTTCGATCAGGTTACGCAAATAAGGGTGTAAAATTAATATCGTGACAACATTTATCATCTCCTTTCTTTTTCTTTAAATTTCTTATTCTTCTGCCTGAATTTATTACACGCCTTATCTGTCGAAGACTTGATTTATGTAAAAGAAAATAACAAAAAAAAAATAAAAATAAAAATAAAATTTAAACGTAGGGTGCACAAAGGATATCTTTGCCATTTTCGGCAAACAAAACCATGACAATCAGGCAAATCCTGAGGTAAATATTTTCATCTTCTTTTTTTTATTCATCTTCTTGATATGCTGATACCATACTCGACGATTTTATTTGCTTTTTATTTTTTCTTTCTTTTTCCAGCAACTTTTTCGGCCTGGAAAAACTCGACAAGGCACCGCGCGAAGTTTTATCCCCCGAGTTACAAAAGGTATTTATATTTATGTATATATATATATATATATACATAGAATATTTTTTAGACACCCTATTATTACTTTTGAATAAGTTTCTTCAATTTTAAGAAACGATCTTACAAAAGTTTCCTCCCGTTTTTTTTATGACATTGAAAAAAACATAATGAATAAATGAATAAATTATTTACGAAATGACGAAATGGAAATTTTTAAAAGAATTTGTTTTTTACATATGTGTGTCAAGAGGAGAATTTAATTCTAAGGTTATTAGGTTTTATTTTTGAATATTCGATATTCATATGTATACTAATGCATGCACCAAACATCATTTTTCTTCTTACTAGACAAAGGTCAACTTTCATAACGATTCTATTTTATAACACGCGATCTTTACGAAACTTTCATTATAAATATATACATATATATATATGTAGAAATGAATTATACATGTACGTATGCCGTGTTGCATACCAATAAGGAACTTTAAAAAGTTTCTTACCGATATACGACACTCCTGTAACTTTAAATTGGCACTCGTAATAATTACCAAAGTGTAGAAAGAGTTGCATATAATAAGGAGGGGGGAGGGTGAACAAAACTTTAATTAGTGAGAACATTTGTCATCATTTTGTTCTTACAATTAATTAATAATAACAGAGGGGAGGAATTTAAATAAGAAACGTGTCATATACATATTTCAAAGTATTTTCTTTAAACTTTTGATTAAAACGATTTATTTTGATTACTTTCAACGATAAAACTCTTGAAAAAAAAAAAACGGATGATTTATTTAAGGATTTACTATTGCTGGAGGAACAAGAGGGATCGGTCAATTTCAAGTTTGGTGTTATATACGCAAAAGAGGGCCAGACTACCGACGATGAGATGTTATCGAACGGTAAGATGAAAAAAAAAAGAAAAAGAAAAAATATGAAGTGCCTTTGGCGCGACGATATATATTTTTGTTTTAAAGTAGAAGAAAAAGAAACGGAGAAACGATGTGATCTCTCTCTCAAAGGAGGGCACGATCGACCCGCGGGTCGCGTCTTCTTTATTGTTCGCAGAAAGTGGCAGCCCAGGTTTCGAGAAGTTCCTCGATATTCTTGGTGAGAAGATACGACTAAGGGGTTGGGACAAGTACCGTGGCGGCCTCGATGTTAAAGGTATATCTATTCTCCTTTACAATTTCACTCCCTCATCCCTGTTAAACGATAAGAATTTAAGATTAAAATAACGTCCCTTAAGGCGCACCCTTAACCATTTTCGTATTTGATCTTCTTGAATATCGAATTTAGAAAGAGACATATGATAAAGATATTAAAAAAAAAAAGAAAGAAAATGAAATAAAAATTGTTAAAGGTGACATGACTGGAAGGGAAAGCGTTTACACGATATATGCCGGTCACGAAGTGATGTATCACGTCAGCACAATGTTACCTTACTCGAAAGACAATCCACAACAACTCGAGAGAAAAAGACACATCGGTAATGACATTGTCAACATTATTTATACCGATGATCCAGCAGCCGTAGACAATTTCAATCCTAATTGCATTAGGAGTCAATTTACTCGTGAGTTTTAACTATTCGTTTGGTCTACTTAACAAAAAAAGATTCAATCAATTTTATTTTTTCATTCCTTGATTGTCCTTCTTAGACGTGTTTGCTGTGGTATCAGCATTAGGAGTTCTCAAAGGTTGGCGCATTGCCATTTATTGCGACGAAACTGTTCCACTATTTGGTCCAAGTCTTCCTTGTCCACCTATATTCGACGATCCCTATCACTTGAGAGAATTCCTTCTGGTCAAGTTGATTAACGGCGAGAAGGCGACCTTTAATACGCCAACATTTTCTAGAAAAAGAGAGAGAACCTTGGACGCTTTATTGCGTGACATGTATCAGGAACATGCGCAAGATGGGAAGAGCAACGTGAGTCTTCAGCGTGATCTTCCGTTAAACGTACATATCTCGATCTATTTTTTCAAACAAATTTTTCTACACATGCTTGTTTATTACAACGATATTCAACAAAAAAAGAAAAAAAAGAAAAACAAACAAATAATTATTAAATATATTTGATCGATTTATTATATCGTTTTAACAGAGCATGTTAAATCGTCGTGCATTTTCCGACGTTGTTGAGGGACCCGGTAGAAGACGGGAGGAAACAAGAGCAGTAGAAATGGTACGCGTTGGTCAAGCTGTTAAATTGGAAGCGATAGTTCGTGGTTTGGCACCAACATCTCTTGCTACGGTTGGTCCATTAAAACCAAGACCTTGGGAACCGAGATGTATTTATCCAGATTTTCCTCATGTTGTAATTTGCGGTGACGTTTGGTCGGAAAATAGGATGATACTTGCATCAGAAAATGGCACTTTTTTGATCGAAGGTATTTTCTAACTATATATTATTTGTTTTATATTTCTTCAATCAATAACAACAACAAAATTCGATACCAAAGATTAAATTGTATTTCGTGTGTGTTTACCTAGAGGGTCTATCGCACAGAATGATTTTCGACGAGTCAGTTCCGATCAAACAACTCGACGTTGTTGAACAACACGGTATTCTTTTATTTCGTGCAATCGATAAAGGGAAAGAAAGTGTCTATGTATTTCGCTTACGTGAATTCGAGTACGATTCATCGTTAAGTGCTAGAACATACAAATTTCCGGAATTTTTTAACAATCGCGACGATGAGGATGAGGTTGACGAACAACACGAGGAAGAAAACGAAGAAAACGGTGAACACGATGAAGATTATTACAAGGACGGTGAAATTGAGGAAGAAGATCAACATGCTAATAATCATCGTGATCATTTTAAATTTAAATCTTCATTACGTTTACGAGGACGGACACATCTAAGACCACCCGCGGTTAGAAGTCGTACACATATTAAGGATAGAAAATTGACTCGTACTCGTGGTTGTCATCTCTACAGTATCACCAGACAAGGTGGTTCGCACTTGCGAATGGTACTCTTTAATATTTCAAATTCAATTTTATATATATGTACAGTGGATACGAGGACCTCTCAAATTCATAGATATAATATAATATGATTACATTGGACTTATGTATTATATATAATACCATTGTATTTATTACTCTTTTGCAAACGTTGCAACTCTAATTCTGTCTCAACAAAAAAATAACTTTCAATTGATCAAATTAAATAGGACATTCCATATTGTAAGAAATAATTTAATAGTAAAAGCCTTACGTAACCACTGTTCTTAATTGAAACGTATGAAATATAAAATTTCATTGAAATCTAATGGTAATAATAAGTTTGTTTGGGTAGTGTGCGGCAGTTGGACGACGTTTGACGGTCCTCCAATGGAAACATAACGCAGCTTGGACAACATGGTGTTCTTCGGCAGATACCGATACGATTGAAGGTTTCTTACTTCTCAAAGAATTCACCGCGAGCGAAAGCCCAACCCTTATTACGATGATCGAAAGTACGGAGATCGGGAACGAATGGATGCTATGTTGCGGTGCACGTCATCATTACGAACTTTTCACTGCATCCGGTACTTCCCGTATAGTTCACGTTGAAACGAACAAACCGCATATCGTAGCGGCAATTGATCTGCGCGAGGACGAGGAACCTGAATTATTGTTATGTTATAACAGTGAGTTGTTCATTTGATTAAATACATATATATATATATCTATTTTATACAATTTTCCATCTCATATAATGATATTCCGTAATTTACACTCGTGTTATAATTAATTTAATCAAATTATTAATTAATTTCTACAGTCCAATTATTAAATGATTCAATCCAATTAGTCTTTCGTCATCCGCAGATATATGTCACTTCCAAAAGTGCTCGGAAGAGAGTACCGCCCCCACAGATTTTGATTTTAAATGGAATTCAGTGCCAACAGCTATAGGTCAGTCATTCAATTTCTTTTACACACATATAGAATTTTTACATATATATATATATATATATATAATAAAAAAAAAAAAAAGAAAATTCATTCATAAAACTTCGTTTTATTTTCTTTCACAGCTTGTGCTTTTCCTTACGTGATAGCATTCACTGCTGATACCATGGAAATTCGTTTGATAATAAATGGAAATCTTGTACATACAATAGCCATGCCGAATCTCTGTTTGATAACTTCTAAAAGGGACATATTTTTTGCAACTACAGCACCGGAATTTTTATCTAGTAAATGCGAACGTATTCGATTGGATTCTAAACCACCTGACAAAGACGAGCAAGGAAGTAGTCCACCACCAACAACGCAGTCTTCCTCTTCATCTCGATCAAATTCACAAAGTAAATTTTATATTGATTCATAGAAATGTTCTTTAACTTAAACTGTATAATTTGAAATCACCTTTGTTTTACAGACAATCATAGCGATTGGAAACCAATCAGGATCTATCGAATACCATTGCAAACACTTTCGCGAAATTTAACATCAAATTGCAGCCAAAGAAGATGTCCAAGCCCGACGGAACCAGAAATCGTTTCCGCCCCATTGACAGGCGGAGAAAATAATTTTTTAAGCGTGGATTCGCAAAGAATATTAAGCAGGTCTTGCAACAGCAGCCCAACGCCACCGAGTGCACCGGAAGATTTGATTCCTACTGTGTGTAGAAAATAGAAAGAAAAAGAAAATGAAAATGAATGAGAAAGAAATGGAAATTAACAGAGAGACACACGCTAACTTAATCGTAAATTTAATTGATAATTGCGTTGCCATTTTTTTATTGGATTCGTACTTAATTAATAGTGCGAATGGATAAGTAGGTACCTGACGCTCGTGCCTCTACAGGATTAAGATTTAACACACAAGCAAACGTACGATCCTGTCGTTGCTAAGCTTCGCGATATAGGAAATGTTTAATACGTGTTACTATCGATCTATTCATTTAATTTTTACTATGATTAATCATTTTTTTAAATCTAAATCTATGAAACAAAACATCTCCGAAAATTTGGCTTATTCAAAATGTCCGCCAAGACGGTGCTCGATCGATATATCAAAATATCGGCTAGTGTCATCTAGCGGTGATCCTTTCGTACTAACTTAGAGAGTAATACTCTGATAGTAAAGCGACATTGATCAACCGTGTACAAAAATGAATTAGAATATGAATATTTTCAATTAAGGATCGATCTTTGACACGTATTTGATATTTCTTTTGCCTCCTTGATATGTATTCTACATGGATAGATGCATACCTTATCTACTGGATGATGGACATGCAGGAGAATAGGTCGATAACATTATGGTTCATCGTAGAAGTTAGGGATGAGTAAACGCCAAAAGAACCACAAAAGGGGTTCGAAATATAATAAGAAATGAACATTCTGCAGTCTCTTTAGAGTGCATAATAATAGCTTAATTCGTTAAAAAAATAAAAATAAATAAAAATCTTTTTAATAGTTCTCGACGAGAGATATAATAACAAAGCATAATCTCGATTTGAGTAATAGGTAGAAGAAAAGAAAATGTTTTTTAAAACATATCTTTTATTTTCCTTCCTTATTTCTTGTTGTTTTTTTTTCTTCTTACCAAAATGCATGTTTTTTTTTTTTATGACCACGTGTTTCGTAGTTTCATTACTAAATCCAACCGGTGACACTGTACGCACCGAGTATGATCGTAACAGTGGCGTAGGCAGAATTGAAAACGATCTCTTTATAAGGTTCGCTTTTTTTTAAACTTTCTCCTTTTATTCTTTCGTTGTTGAACATTGTTGTCGGAACCAATGGAAATTTTATTTGCTAAGCATCGTTGCAGTATGTAGATGAACAATACAAATACGATGTGTGCAGTCATGATTATCGATTATTCACAATTATAACCAGCATGTTCTGAAGAACTGTGACGCATATTAGCGATCGAATTTCATCGATCGTAGCACACAACACGCTACATGCGTGAAATTCTGCAGAAGACGTAATTCTGCATATTCTTCCTTCCTTCTTTCCTTCCTTTCTTCCTTCGACGAGAAAGAAAGAGAGAGAGAGAGAGAGAGAGGAGGGACAACAAACGGAATATAACGTGTGTGTGTGTATATAACGAAAGCATGAAATAAAGTGTACCTTATCGTTGCAACGTTTGCACCAAAAACTTATGCTAGAGGAACTTTCATTTTCTTTATTTAGTTATTTATTTATGGGCTAAACCGAGAAGTCGATAAGACGTTAAAGAAAATCCTATGAATGGCAATTACTGTCAAGCGGAGTCAGAGCAAAGAGCTTTGGCGACCCCGGTCAGTCTAGATCGTTGAACCGCAATAATTTACCTTTACCCGACTTCTGTTCGATACGAGTTTGTCACGATCGGTAGTAAACTTCTCGTTGTGACACACGAACTACAAATAAACAGTACCTAATCTTTTCCATCATTTTTCGCATTGAAATCTGGGTCACAGATAATCAACGTTGGTTGTTTTTTGTTTCTTTTTTTTTTTTTGCAAATCTATATAAAAAAGAAAAGGAAATAAAACGAACCCATCCAAGTTTCTCAATGCGAATCCCTAAATCATCTGAGAAGGGATAGGAGAGAGGGGAGGGAGAGGGTACATAGACCCCATACTCATGCAGATGCACGATTTAAATGCAAAGTGGATGCGGAGAGTTTCGCCATGGGTCTGCTGGTTGATCATAAATTTGGAAGTCGTGCAGCACGGAGTCATTGGCCGACTCCGTACACCGTAGGGCAAATTTCGTGCCCGCCCGGCGAAATTTCCTCCCGTCTACACGGCTTCGGAGAGACGACAAAGGGGAAGAAAGAGAAAGAGAGAAAGAGATTGAAAAGAAGGGGAGAAAGGAAAGGAAAGGAAAGGAAAGGAAAGGAAAGGGGGGCGGTTTATCGAGAGAAAAAACTTTCCTTCGTCTTCCTTTCTGCATCATTTTCGCGATCGATCGATCATAAAATTCTCCTTTTGCTGAGCATCGATCATTAATTTTGTTATTTCGTTTCATCTTTGAATAAATCGAACCAAAATCGTAGAAGAAATTTAAAAAAACGTAATATCTCTACGAAAAAGGACATGGAAAGAAGAAGAACAAAAGCGTTGAAAGGAAGGTGGCTATACGGAGCTTGATTTCGTTCGCAGGTGTGATTTGGTGGTGGCCGTCGCGTCGCAACGTAAGAAGAGCATGGAACAAATTTCTCGGCGTCATGGCGGCCAATGACGGCAGTAGAGTAGTGACGATGGTAGTGGTTGCGGTAACGGCGGCGGTTGTTTTAACGTTAGCCGGCCGCTCGAGCGGCCACCTGGTGGCGGTGCACTGTATTAAAGACGCTAAGTTCGCGCGCGGTCGCACGCACGCACACATCCTGAAAACACACATAGAAAGGAGGAGGAGGAGGAGGAGAACACAGTCGCTTGCTTGCTTGCTTGCTTGCTCGCTTGCTTGCTTGCTTGCACGCCAAAGGCGGCGCGTTACGAGAAAGAGTAGGACAGAGTTATTCGAGAGAGAGTGTCGAAGAAAGAGAGAGGTAGGGTGCGAAGGGAAAGGGAAGAGGGATGGAGGGAGGAGTGTTGGGGGAGGGGAAAGAGAGAAAGAGAGAGAGAGCAGGGTACAAACTCGTGGCGCGGAGGTGCCAGCAGGCAGCAGCGGAGCTGGAGACGGAGACGGAGAGTCAGAGGTATCCCCGTGCTTGTGGCCGCTCGTGGCTCCTTGTAACTCGTTGTAACGCGACGCGAAGGTGTGCCTGGCTCTCTCGTCGTCGTTGCCCGTTACCTCGGTACCAGCACTGCCGATACGCGCGTCCCAGCAAGGAACAAACGGGAGTGTCGAAGTGGCTCGCGCCAGTGTCGGTAGTGTGATGTGACATCGGCTCGCTCTCGTACCAGACGCGGCCGTCACCGTCTTCTTTCTCTCTTTCTTCTTCCCTCCGTCTCTTTTTCTTTTCCCCTATCTTCTCTATGTCCCTTTCTTCTTTTTCCTTTCTCACTCACTCACTCACTCACTCACTTACTCACTAGGAGCATCATACAACACACAGGGACACAAGTTCCTTGTTTCTCCACTGTCTCTCCTCTCTGAAGCTCTCGCTCGCGCGTATATACTTTAAATATATACATGGTGCGCACGCATACACATACACGTTCACGCACGCATATTCTGTCTCTTACTTTGACTACTACTTTGCCTCGTTCTCAATCGTCGGAAGGAAAAAGAAAGATCTTGTGGCAACGTTAAGATACAAAAGTTTTTGCAAGAAACATCCTCCAGACACAACGCGTTACGGAACAGGAACTCTTCGTGTTACGAAGAACTAACAACGTCATTTTGCTGTCGTCTCCGTCGTCGTCGGTGGTGGTGGACCATCGACGGACAATTTCTTGCCCTGTTGTGTCGTCGTCGTCGCCCTCGGCTTGGATATTGAAGATATTCTCGCGAATCTACGTCGCCCCGTTACGTCGAACAGACCATGAGGTAAGCGAATCCACCAAGCGTGCCACCGAAAGCGAAGGTAACACCTAAAGTCGCTTTTAGACGAATGCCCGAACGTCGTGCGTGCAGAGGTTATGTTTCTCGATGACCCTTCGTTCCCCCTCCTCCACCTACTACTACACTACTACCACCTTACCGTTTGCCCTCTCTCTCTCTCTTTCTTTTTTACGCTCTCTCCTGGCTTCCCCTTCCCCTTCCCCATTCTTCCTCTCGGTCGATCTATCGCACGAATTTGCACCTCTTTCACTTCCTCTTCTTGCCTACCTGTACGATACTAGCTCGGAAGAGAGAGACTACTCTCTTTTTTCGAACAATATTATCGTGTTAAATAAAAATCTATAAATAGTCTCGAAGTTTTCTTTTTAAACTAACCGCTTTCTTTCTCTCTCTCTCTTATTCTTATCATTGGAACATTTAAGAATTCACACCTGACGACGTCTCCGCCGCCATCACCGCGTGCCTTCTCGCTTCTTTATCTTACGTGTCCTCCTCTCCCTCCCCAGCCCCTCTTCACCGCACCTTCGTCATACGCTGATTTCTCTTTCTCTCGCACGAGCGCGCAGTGAAATAAAAGTATTATATATACGTGTGCACTCGCAAACTCGCAATCTATCGTTTCTCTTTCTCTCTTTCTCTCTCTTTCAGTATATATTACTCGTATCTTAATTTTTTTCCCCCTTTTTTTTATTAGTTCGCGACAATTTCGCAATCTTTTGCTTATCGTGTCCTCCTCGAAAGCTATCAGCTGTCAGAACTCGTCATGGCAGTGCCACCTGTCCGAATACGAAGTCCTATTCGTTTCCCCATTCTATCCAACTCCTCCTTTCACTCGCATATTATATATATATATATCTTTCTCTCTTTCACTCTGTGCTCACGTTTTTATCGTTTAATCTCTCTTCCTTCGGGAACGTTCGTAAAATCGGCCGATCGTCGACGATACAATACATACGTGCATGCATATACATATATATATATATATATATATATATATACATAGAAAGTAGCATGTTGGTGGTATCCAATCGCCGAGGGCATCTCTCGCGATCATCGTTCGCATTTGGCGGCTGAGATTTTACGTGGCGCGTGCGAAGAAACGAAAGGAGAAAGAAAGAGAGAAAGAGAGGAAAGAATCAAGCAAAAGAAGAAGATAGTTGATGCAAGAGAGAGGAGTAGGAAAAGGCT